AAAAAAAAAAAAAAAAAAAAAAAAAAAAAAAAAAAAAAAAAAAAATCATTATTTAGCAAAAAAGATTTTTTAAACTTTATTACAAGCTCGTGTGAACGCGTCGAAATCCAAACGCCCCATCACACGATCAACCGCGTGGAAGAAAAAAATTTTTTTGTCGCAAGCTGCCCACCTGGTGTGGACTGTACCCCGGATTGTCCACCGAAATGGCGTGTCTCTTGAGCAGCTCGGGGTTGAGTAGGGCGCACCTGCCAGCGGTGGACGAACCGGCGTACCTGCCGGACTGTCTCGCCCCGCGGGCCGTGCCCAGCCTCGTGGGTGACTTTTTGTGGGCGTCGAGGACAGGAGCACTGGGACTCCTCTTTATGGGCCTGGTGACCCCGCGGTCCTCGAGGGCCTTGGAAAACTGCACGAACTCGGCGGTGAGCAGCTGCCGGCGTCGCGAGGACTCGCGCAGGCTCGGGCTCGGGCTGCGGTTAGTCCGAAACAGCCCGAGCTGGTGGTCCCACTTGCTCGTCTGGCTCGAGGTGGACTTGCGGCTGCGCTGGTGGTTCTTGGCCCCGGTTTTCACGCTTTGGGTCTGCTGGGCGTTGTTGAACCGGAAACGCGCCGGCATGACCTTGGCTGCGCTGTTGCGGGCCTCGAACGTCATCACGCACGCCGCGACGACTATGAAACCTGCACGTGGGGATTCAACGGTAAGGATTACGTTATATATTGGCGTTGGATCAACAAAGCTGGGAAACGGGCCAACTTTGCGGCCTTTGTTCGTGAGCTTGTTTGCCGTGGGTCGAACTTTTAATTGAGTTTGCCGAAGGAATATTGGTTGCGTGTCGGTATAGGGAGTTTGTTCGAAAAAGGATAGTTATCGCGTTTATAATTTTATACATTAGTTAATTAATATGCTTGATACAATTTTATAAACCCTTCTTTATTAATCAATTTGCTAATATCGAGTAAAACTGCGAGTAAAACGAGTTTTTAAAAATCCTCAAGAATAATATTTATTTTTCGTTTAATTTAAGTTTTTTTAAACTTGCTTTTTTTCGAACGATTGCCCATAATATTGGCAAAGTGATTGTGTAAAAGTATAAATTTCATTGTTTGTACCGCAACGAGTAAACATTTAAGACTATCAGAAATTAAAAATTAAACAAACAGTTTTTCCAATATTTTAAAGTGAATTTTTTAATTTTCAACAATTATAAAATTTGGTATGGTATTTCTGAAAACTCCTGTTTCGTATTGAACAATTTCCCTGTTATCAAACATCAACGTAAATAGCAACCTAATTAAAATCACTACAAATATTGAAGCATATACGAGAACACCTAAGATGTACACCCTTTTCGTTTCTGGGGTTTTCAAAATTCCCGTGGTACCTCAATTACGAAATAAAATTCTTTTTTTTATATCATAACGGCACAGTTAACCGATAACAATCGCTGTAATTAAGCGCTCTTTGCTACTGTTTTTCTCTCCCCTTTTCAACATTCGACTCGCCCACCTATCGTTGGACCACCGATCCATCACAAACCACAAAAAAAAAGAAAAATTCTATAATCAAAAAATCATGAATATTATCAAAGATACGCAACATACACGAAGCGCCAGACAGATGTACCTATAGTCCACAGGTAGACCTCTTATTGCAGTGGGAGACACCTGCGGGCACTCTCTCTATCTCTCTCTCTGGCGTTATATTTGGGATTCGCAGGTGTTTGCCGAGCGCTCATCCTCCGCTAAATAAACGTGCCCGCACGTATAGCTCCAGATAAGCGACAGACGTCGTCGCTTTCTACCCTATACGGTTACCGTATGTGTAATAACGAGGATGAGACAGTTGGATGCGACGTGTGGGCTCGCGGGATTGCAATTATGGCTGGTGGCTTTGCCTATATATTACTACGTGTGCGTGGATTGGCAAGCTTGACACGCGAATGGTTTCTTGGGAATTAAATCATGAGAGGTTTTCGGAGGTCAGGTTTGTTCAATCAGTACGCGTTCCCTAGTAAATTCGTAGTCATTAAGCTACCCTGATTCGTAAAGAGGATGGACTGAGTCCAAAAGAGTGAGCGTTTATTTGTTGAATATTCAATGTTTTACAATCATTTTCAATTTGTTTATTGAGATTTTTAATCCACATGTTCGGCAAGTGTCATAGCTCAGTCGATAGAACGACTTTGTCATTTGTAGCTATAACTTGTTTCGGTACTTATACAATTTCGATGGATAGTTTTGCTCTCATTGACACGAATAAATTAAATAGATTATCTACAACTTAAGTGATTTACTTATACCTTTTTGTTTTACTGATTGCAATACGATGATATACCTAATATGTAAAATTCCTATCATTATAAATTTTTTTTTTTTTAATCACATGTATTTTTATTCTATTACAATGATAATAATTATAAAAAAAAATTATAATAATAATAACACTTAAGATGGGAAAAGATTTTTTCATTTTTTTTTTCTGTAATATCCAATATTTTTCACGTTTGTTAAATAAAATGTGAAGGGAAGATAGTTATTTAATCAACTACATCCAGTTACCGTATGTAGACTAATTATCAGCAAAGGTGGTTACGAATACATTTTAAAACAAT